GGGGGGGCCAGGATTAGTCACTGGTCGTTCATGCTAACTTCTGTTTGCACCAAGTGCCCAGAAGAGGGAGAGCTGGAGCCTGTCCCCACAGCATCCATCCTCCCAAATTCCCACGAGGGCCTCCTCACTTGCTGCACACTTCATTAACACCTCGGTTTTGGGGGGACATCACACGCGGGGCTCACACCTGACACCTGTAACACACACGGTCTCCCCAAGCCCCTACCTCTGAGCACAGATCTGCTTGCTGGGGAGAGGCAAGATGGCAGGAAAATTCACAGAGTTTGCAATTGAGATCCATTTTGGCATCTGGACTTCGAAAGCAGTGGGTTTCCATGCCACAAACCAGCCCACCGCACGCTGGTGTGTACCTTGGGGGTACCTCACGACGTGTCAGGAGCCTTGACTGTGATATTGCATCAGCTGAAGTACAGCTGTAAATCTGCACCTGCGAAGGCAGGCAGACACCCCCAACCTTGTCCTATAAACCACGTCTTGGCTCAGAGCAGTTTAGAAAAGAAAACTTGACCCACTTGATTTATTCTTTTCCTGCTGTTACACTGAGAAAGAGGTAGTACTCATCCTACTCAGTGAAAATGCTATCATCACTTTCATCACTTCCTTTCCCCCTAATGAACTACTCCAGAAACTGCGCTCTTCCCTGGAACAAAATAATTTAAAAAAACTTAAAAAGCAAAAAAATATTCACCTGTGGCTGTTTGAGTGCTGGATGGAGTTTTTATCCAGCAGCCCATTATCCCTACCAGGCCCTTATTTCCAGGTACTGTGGTACCGGCTTTGTTGGACGAGGCTCAAGGCTGAGCAGCCCTCCCCAGTCCCAAAATTGAGCTCTTGTAGCCCTGAAAGCACAGAGGGAATGGATTTTTCCTTATTTTTATGCAACTGTTCCTCCAGCTTGGCATTTACAGCCCAGCTGAAAATACCTCTGCTGCAACACGGAGGTTTAACAGAGATGAAACCCCAGCCAGGTTCTGCCTCTTGTCTGTAGATCCCTTTCTTCTACTCCAATGTTTTGCTCCAACCCTCCCAGAGCAAACACTTTTCTTTAAAGAACTCATCATCAGGAGGAAAAAAAAGATTAAAAAAATATAACAAAGCTGGTGAAAGCACAGGGAATTAGTGTCGGCATGATGAGGTGCGCAGGATTCAGGCTGAGAAAAAGAAGAGGGGCGAGGAGGAGACCTACAGGGCAAGCACTGAGATGGGGGGGCTGAGGACTGGGGTGGTTGTCTTTCATTTCAGAAGAAGAATAAATCCCCCCTAGAAATTGTGCAGCCGAATAATGCAAATAATACACCAAAATTCAGTGATCCCCCCCATCTTGGCCCAGCCGTGAGCCAAACACTCGTGATTAGGAGCTGCTGTACCCCAGCAAGGTCATCAACAAATCTTGCTTGTGTTAACAGACCAGTTCAACTTACACCTTTTTTTTCCTCCCCTATTTTCTTCCCAGGACAGCAGACCCAAACAATGTGGGGATGCTATAAACAGCAGCTGCACTCCTGCACGTCCCCACAGTGCTTTTATTTTTGTTGGCGATAGGCTGCCAGACAAAGGCATCCCACCTCCAAAATGTTTTCTCATAGGAGCAACACCCAGTCCTGAGAACAGCTTGGCCGCCAGTAAATAACTCAACTTCGTATAAACAGCAGCTTCAAAATAATTAAAAAGGAATCCCTGTTCCAGCACACACAATATGCTTTTGCATTGCAAATATTCCTTTTTATTTCCATAGGAGACACCCTATAAGTAAAAGTGCTGCAGGGAAGCATGTCTAAAGCTGCTATAATGGCCTGGGGAATCCTCCCAAGCCAAAATATCTGCTTAGAAAACCCAGTATACCTACTTAGACAACCCAGTGTCACTGGCCTTGCAGCAGCCCAGTGTAACATGCCCTGTGTCCAAGGCTGTAACGGTGACAAAAGCCGCCTCTGGGAGCACTTTGGTCTTGGCCAGGAGGCCAGAAGATGTTCCAGGTGACAGCAGCGGTGAGAAAGGGGGATGCAGCCATTGCAGCAGCCAGGGACATTGGGCTCAGCTCTCCAACTTCACCGTAGGGATAAAGGGAAAATTCACTTGCAGTGGCATTTCTCATATTAAGCAACCCACCCCCCGCCCCCCCAGAAAAAAAGAGGTTCCTACACCCAGTTCTGGAGAGGTTCCAATTTGGGAGTGAGGGGAAAGGCAAGCAAGGAGAAGGAGGGGAGAAGGAAGGGTTGCTGTACACCAGGGGGGGCGGCTCAGCTCTGAAAATGAGCCCTTAAAAGCACTGAAATGCATTTGAAAGCACTGAAATTACATTCTCCTCCAGGAAAGAGTTAAGGAGCCATTCAGCCCACCCTAAATTTTAGCAGCCGAGCCCTTCGTGGCAAGGCTTTTGGTGGTTAGCAACCCGCTTTGGGCAGGAAATTATTTTAAACAGAAATGGGGAGGGGACATGTTATAGCAGCATGGAAAAATCTGGTACAAAATGGACAAAAATATTGCACTGCATGAGATGCAAAATCGTTTTTCCTATTTGTCCACCAACGCAAATCCCGGGGGAGATTTCTCAGTGCCCCCACATGAGACCCTCCCCTGGAAATCCCCCCTCACCAGGGAGCCAGCCCCAGGGAGATGCTGAGGCTTTGTCAGGACCATGAGTATCTGCACAAGTAGGGCATAAAAAAACCCCAAACCTTGCTTGGCAGCCAAGGGAGCAGTGAATAAATAAAATTAGGTTTTTTTTTTCCCCCCAAACATGGAAATATTGAAGGCTGCTGACACCAGTTCACCCCTGTAATTTCACATCACATATTTCACTCTCCAGATCCTAAACCCTAAGTGCTTCAAATCTCTCCTTCCTGAAGACATTTCAAAGCCACTCTGATATTTTATCTATCATTTAAATATTTCTGCATATGAAATATGCTGGTTTCACAGCTACCAATGCAGTGAGGTGGGGAGCCCCAGCAGAATTTCCTTATTTTTGTGGTTTTTCAGCCACTACATTTGTTTGAGGTTTCTTGCTCTTGGCTTCAAAGTTTTCTGTGATGCCTCACACCTCTGCTTTATGGCGAGCTAGTTTGGCGTTCATCATTTTCCAGGCCCGGAGAAAAACACCTCCCGCTAAAGACTCTGCTGAAGAAAACAACCCTACAGCTCAAATTGCATCTTCTCCTTATTTTGAACGCATTTTGATTTCATCAGAGGAGAAACTAGCAAAAATTCATCCTCTCCTGTTTTTATTTTTAATGCCAAGCTCCTACATTTGTCATTTTTCAGTTGCACGGAGCTAGATTAAAAGAAGGAGGAGAAGCTAGGTGATGAAATATGAAGAAATCATAATTAAAAATCAGTAAGTTTTCGTTCTTTTTCTTCCTAAAGGAGATTTCAGGGGATCCCGTGCAGTGCTGGAGAGGCGTGCGGGGCCGCTGCCCTGGTGCACACCTGGTTTGGGGGTTCAGTGCAGAAGAAGCTGCCAGGCTGAGGCTCCAGGTGCTGCCGCAGCAGATGCTCTTTGGCAGCCATCGGCGAGACATCTGCGCTGACACGGGGAGGAACCTACCGGTGTGAAGCCAGCCCTACCACCAAGAGGTGGCCGTGCGTGGAAAGGGGGAGCTGGCACAAAACCCCTCCGTCGGTGACTCCACCGCCATGGCCCGGCTGTGGCTCCATCTCTGCATCTGCCTCCAGATCCCAGGTAAGAGGGACACAGCTCTTAAGGGTTGAGGGCAGCTAAACTCATGTTGGAACCTTTCCTCCAACCTGCTCCGGCACGTGGGATGCATTGCACAGCCTCTGGATGATGGAAGGTTAAATATACAGGCATCGTATAGATCTACAGGTTATTATTACCTATCACTGCATAATTTTGGACAATGCCCTTAACAACATGCTTTAACTTTTGGTCAGCCCTGAAGCGGTCAGGCAGTTGGACTAGCTGATCGTTGTACGTCCCTTCCAACTGAAATAGTCATATTCTATTCTATTCTACATATAGTGCAATATATAATGATATAGACACTTCGGAATTTGTGTTTACTGCACCTTAGTGCAGACAGACTGTGGGAAGCTGCTGATGGAGAAGTTAAAGTAGCACCTATCTCTGCTGCCTGTGTAATGCGAAGACGATAAATATTCCATCAAATTTTCTTCTAAATCTCTCCAGGGACTGAACATTTCCCAAGGGCCACAGCTGGAATTGCTGTGTTATAAAACCCAGCTGCCTTCTGCTTATTGCAGTTGCAGGAACTCTAGACCAAATATACAAGTCAATGTCGCAGCAAGGTGGTAGAATTACACTTTACAGGACAAATTGTGCCATCAGTTCTTAGGTGAAAATTATTGAGAGCTTGAAACACCCATTAAATGTATATATTAGGGTGGCGGCCCAAGTTGGCCCCCTAGATGTTGCCCAGTCGGGGTCCACGGCCGCCCAGCATCCTCGCTAGAGGCTGTCAGGACTGCTGGGTGTTTTGTTCATGGTGTGTGATGGTGATCCATCCACGGCGTAACACCTGACAATCTGGCAGCAAACAGCCTGAGGCACTTTATCAACACCTATATACAGCTAATAATATCCTATAGATCTATACAGTGGGGTCCCAACTGAGAGAACCCGAATAAATTAGAGTTTGCTCCGCATGTGCAAAGGGAACAGGGACTGCTTTTGGGGTGCTGCAGGCTGGTCTGGCTGAGCACATGGAAAAAAACCTGTCCCACTCCAATTCTCCGTAGTCTCCTGTGAGAATATACACCAGGAAAGGGAACAGGGAGGTTTTGGGGGATGAAGGTGCAGCAGAGGATGAACTTTTCTACTCTGGCTTTCTCCCAGCTCACCCTGCTGGAGCTTGATCTCTGGCTCAGAGCAGACCTGAGCGTTTTCCAGGATCCCTTCTCATCCCTTCTGATTTGTGTAATATCTCTCCAACAGCTCAAGTAAAAGGTTTTCACAGGGAGGTTAGATTTCCCATGCTCAGCAGAGCAAGATCTCAGGGCAGCCAAGGAGACTCTGAAGCCACCATGCCCCATGGCCACACACATTTCATCCCCTAAAAATCCACACGGGTGTTTGCCAGAGCAAAGTTTGTGAGGATTGCACTCCAAACCCTGAAAATGATGTATTTTAGTAATAAGGAAACATTTATATTGTCACAGCACCAGAGCAGGGGGTGAAATGCTGTGGCTGCTGTGCAAAGCCTGAATTTTGGCATTGCAACGTCAGGGCTGAAGCTCGCTCATCTCTGCAGCACCCCGGCAGCGAAGGGGTCATCGGTGCGGGGCCAGAGGAGGGCTATGGACCTGTATCAATCAGCAGAGCCCTCTCCTCTGCTTGTCCCCATCAGGGACATGCAGGACATGGGCCAAGGGGATGACTTCAGATGTTCTTGTGGTCATGCAAACCCATTCCCACATCACTGGTTTTGCAGGGCTGCATGAAGCTGTTTGCAACTACTGTAAGTAGCTTTGGGATTTTGAAGGAACAGGGACAATTTAAAGTAAAAAAAAAAAAAAGCCAAAACCCATGTTTTGTTGAGCTATTTGCATGGCTGTAGAACTCATCTGGGAAAGACGGGGGAAGCAAGAGCATCCTTATCTTCAGGGGGCTGTTTTTCACTTGGGTTTGGAGTATCTGCAGCTTTGTAGGACTGTTTGCTGAACAGAAAGGATCACAAGTCACCTGTTATCCTTTTCACAAGGACACATCCTCGCTCACACACAGACACCGCTCACATCTGCCCAGGCCAAACACGACTTGGATAATTTCCACAAAAGCTGCAAAGCCCAAACACAGAGATGCGATGTCAAACCGAAGCTTTCAACCCCACTGCTACCCCTCACTCCCTCTCATTCCCTAGGTCTCGAAATTCAAACAAAAATAACATCCTCTGAAAACTAATATCAGATTGGCTCATTTTGAGATGTTTTGCACATTTTTTCATCTTTTCTGCATCTGAGATGCAATCTGAAGTTTATTGGTGTTGCTTTTGTTAGAACAAAAATCTGGCAAATAAGTTAAAAGAGGCTCAAAAAAATCTGCTGAAACAGAGGTGAAGCCTCCCCAAAAAATGAGAGAGAAAAGGAGGCAGCAGAGCAGCACCCACAGGAGCAGGTGGGGGTGCCCTTCCCTGCACATACGGACCCCAGGACGCCCTCAAAATCATCCCTCCATCCCTCTCCCTGCCACTGAGCCTCCTCCCTAGATGAGTGCTTACAGGACAAAAATCTACCTGTATAACTAGGCTTGATCAAAAAATAGCTGGGGAACCCAAAAGGGCCTCTGAGGGAATATGGGCTGAGGTTCCTGAGAAAGATGCTCCTGTTTCTCGCTTGTGTGATCCCCTGGTCTGTGACTGTTTGATCTTATTAAGCCCGCAAAGAAAATTTGTACTTAACATGGAAGAAAAATAATGAAAAGAAAATAATAACTATGTATTTCTGTCTTTTTACTCAGGTTTCTGTACAAATCTACTTTTATCCCAGATTCCAGGGCATATTTTAGCCCAAACTAACAATAAAACAGAAATCATCTGTGAGCTGAAGAAGGAGCACGTTGGGGTGTACTGGTACCGCTGGAGCCAGGAAAGGCAGAATTTTGAGTTCTTGGTATTTTTCAACCTGTTGGGCAAAGCCACGTATGGCACAAACATCAGCCAGGACAAGTTTAGTGTCCAGAGTGCGAGTTCTCGCACCTCCTACAGCCTGCACATCAGCCACCTCCATGCCTCGGACAACGGCACCTATTACTGCTCCATCTCCCAGTCCTCCCAGCTCCTCCTGGGCAGCGGAACACGGCTCGGTGTGGGTAAGCATCACCCCCGGGGCTCCAAAATGTATCACCAGCAGACTGTGATGAGGTCCCCTAGGTAAGGGGTGATGCATGTTGGTAGACCTTTCCCGATTTTGAAATGCTCTGGGGTTTTTGTGGAGAGACCTATGAGACCAGATAAGTCAGAAAATACAGAAAACAGCTATATTTTTAGGTCAGCCGCATGTGACAGTCTTTTTGCCACCAACAGTTGCTTTGCTGTGGTCATGCCTTGAGTGCTGTGTTGGTCCTAGTGTTTTAGGATTTCCACGGGAATGTGCTCAGCGTCCATATTGGAATGCCCTGTATTTTTCTTGTCCTCTGTGGTGCTTTGGATGAGAGACTGGATATGTGCCCTGCTCTGCTCCTGGGTCCTCTCGCACCCCAGTTCTTCCTTACCCTTCCTCCAAGTGACAAGAGCAGCAGCTTCAAGGCCAGAGGACATCATCCCTCGCATCGCTGGGGTGGGTCTGACTGCAGGTTTCAAGCCCATCCTTCACATAAAGGATTGAATTGGGATTTATTCCTCAAAGGTTTCAACCCACCATCACTGGGGACCTCCAACCAGAAATCTGCAGGTGACGTTGGGGGAATGATGCTTTACAGACCCTGGATCATAAAACAGCTCTTTTCAACCCATTTTCCCCTCGACCACCGAGCAGGAGGTGGTGTAGAAAAACGAATGTGTTTGAAGTAGGATTCAGCCCTTTCTTTGCAGACTTTTAGGGATACAAATAACTTATTTAACCAAGATGTAGCTACGGCCGCTGGCTCTAAATCATCCCCACCGTCTGAACCTTTCTGGGTTATTTTTGCAAATATGCCCTGCACCTTGAGCTGGCTGAGAAATCCCTTTCGGATTCTTGCCGATTTGAAGAAAAGCTGGTTTAAGATAAAGGAGAACTGGTTTTTTTGTCAACTAGGCACATATCTATTTTCAAAGCAAAGCATGAAAAACAGGGATGAAATTCAGCATGATCAAGGACACTCCAATTTAAAACTAAACATCAGCAGGTGCTCGGGGAGTACTCAGGCCTTGCTAGATAATTTCTTTTTTTCCTTTAGTACACATGATAAACCAAATTATCTTTCAGTTCCTTTTCTTTAAGCCCATTATAATGTAAGGGAGAAGTTGTCCAGATAAATCCCAGAAACCTGATGTCTCACTTTTCCATGTAAAAGAAAGGTAGTTTCCATAGGAATTTCAGTCCTGGATGGAAGCAGAAAAAAATAGTTTTGAATCACTCAAAATTTTGAAGAGACGGAGTTTGAGCGGTCAGATGTACAGCTATTTAATGACATTACTGGGATATTTTCCTGACCAACTTTACAGAGATAAATGTGCTCCATTATAACTCAGATACACCCTAATAAATCATGCCCTCATTTTATCAGACAATAAAAATAAAAATCCAATTTTGAGTAAAGATTAGAGCAACCTGAATACAGAAAAGAAAATATGCAGGGATCCCTTAAAACCTCCTGGTGCTACTGAAATATCCTGCTACTCGTGATTTTGTGCAACACCGATGAAATGGTGCCTGGCAGTAAATGTAGCTCAGGAAAGTTTCCTTTTTCCCTTCCTTAACCTTTTGCCCTTGTTTCCTGGTACAGTGTTTTATTAGTGCTTTTTCAAGCTCTTGGTAACTTCTGTAGCCACCGAGAAGTTCAGGTCAAGCTCCTGGCACCTCCAGATAGACCAGCTCTTTGCGGGGGTCCCCAGATGGGGTTAATTTTAAAAGCTAACATTTTCAGCCCTTCTTGCCTGCTACTTGAGATCTCCACTGTCCTCAGTGCCATACTGACCAACCTCTTCTCCTCCTTATCCTTATCCAGTTGATGTTTTGCCTCTGCCTCCGAAGACCACTCAGTCACCACTCTCTCAAAAGCCTGTGCGCTGCGTAACCAAAAGCAAAGCCGCCGTCAGGAAAGGTACGGCACCGGGTTGGCTTGCAAAAGGGTGTTGCTGAGCTCCTGAGGGTCTCCAGGGTTCAGCTGGAGTTTGTCCTGGGGTGGGGGCAACTTCAACATGACCCTGCAGGGATGGGCATCTGGGTCCACCTAGACCCACCGCTCTGGGTGGAACTGACCTCTGCCTTTAGGAGTGGTCCCCTGGGATATAGAAGGGTTTAGGGGCCAGGCTGTATTTCCATTTAGCTCTGCCTAAGCTCTGGTGTCCCTTGGGTGCGCAGCCCCTGCGGGTGCAGCACCAGTCCTCCAGGCATGGTGAATTCCCATGCCAGAGAGGACACCAGGAAAAAGATTGTCATGACTCATAGTTAAGTTTCCTGCAATGCTTTTGGGGTGTAATGCATCCTCCAAGGGATACCCCAGGGTGATGGTCATGTCCTCCACTCCTCCTGAGGACCTGCCTTGCTTTTCTCCCCTCCCCACCCCACCCTTCATCCCCCAAAGCTGCTGGGGCAGGATGGTGCTGGGTGCTGAGCTGGGGGTGGGGAGGTCCACACCATGTCTCCTCCTGCTCTCCAGGTGCCTGCAGCCCCCTGGTCTGGGTCCCCCTGGCCGCCAGCGTCCTGGTCCTCCTGCTGAGCCTGGTCCCCACCACCTACCGCCTCCACCGTAAGCATCCCACCACCCTGAGGACGATGAGGGGTGTCAGGCTCCGGCACAGCCCGGGAGAAGGATGGGGAGCGAGGAGGAGGTCCCAGGGCTGACGGACACTGTCTCTCCCCAGGTCTACGGCGGAGGCTGTGGCTTCGTATCCACCGGCAGTAAATCCCACTGGCTCCCCTCGCCTCAGGCTGGCAGGGAGAAGCTACAGGCTCTCCCCTGCACAGTGCTGAGCTCTGCCTGGATGTGACCCAAGAAGGATGTTACAGGGGGCAGACATGGCCTTGCACTGCAAGACGGACATTTCTTTCCTGCGACAGACCACGACTTTAACATTTTTCCTTGACACAACAGCTGGTAACTGGACCGGGCCAGATCCTGCAGCACGCTGAGCATTTCTGAAAGGGCACTGAGCAGGGTGAACACTGTGGCTCTGCACCAGGGCTGATGTACTGAGGGGATCCAGATGGGCTGGAAAGATGCTCTGAGAGCTTCTTGGCTCTCCTCTCTGCCCATGGGCCATCACAAAGATTTCGTTTGCTCCAGCTAATGCTGGCTGATAAGACTTTGCTAACGCTCTGAGAGCAACCAGCAGACAGCAGGGGCAGGTCACTGCACGGCTTGTAAAGGCCCCGTACAGGCACATTCATTAGAAATAGCAAATATACCACTCAACTGTGTTGCTCTTCAGGCTGATGTCTTGTGGCTGCGCTCAGTGCGGGACATGGCTGTGTGGCGAGCGAGGAACCATGGCCTCCGCCCGAGCAAGAGTGAAAGCAGAACAGCTCCAGGGGGAGGCAGGTCTGGGAGGGCACCTTCTCCCACAGGAGATTGCAAACAGCCAAGAGTGGGAGTGAAAAGCCAGACAACGCGATGTACCCAAGGCCGAACACCTGGCACAGCCTGAAGGCCAGCACCCCCTCTGAGAGCAAAGGGAGGCAGCCAGGCCCAGCGGCGCGGTGCGCCGGCGGGAATTACCCCAGGCGATGCCCGTGTGTGCCGAGACCTGAGCAATGCCAGAGTGTCTGACCCCCAAGCGTGCTGAGCCCCGAGCAGCGCCCGTGTGGGCCGAGCCCCAAACGACGCTTGGGTATGCTGAACCCTGAGCGTGCTGAGCCCCGAGTGATGCCAGAAGCAGGGGAGGTCTCCCCAGGGATGTTAACAAGGCTCAGCCCCTGCCTGGAGCTGCAAGGCTGACGTGGGGCTGGACATTTGACATCTTGCTGAGTGCAGGCAGTGGGCGCTCGCTCTTAGGTGCATCCGCAGCCCCGCGTCTCTGCTGAACTACAGGCACCAGCGCAAGGCTGGATCAAGGGGAAGGTGGTCCAGACACCTCCTGTCCCCAGCATGGGTGGGAAGGCCAGCAGCTATTTTTACTGCTGGGGAAGCAGCAGGGATCTCCTGTCCTGCACATTGCCTGTGTCCTTACAGCTGCCCACAAGCCAAGGGTTGATGTGGCTCCAGAGTCCCCAGGGCCAGGGCAAATGCGGGCATGGGAGGAGCACATGCGGGTGGAAAGCATGGCAGTGGCACAGAGGTGTCCCTCTGGCCTTACCCTGCTTCCCCTCCCAGCCACAGGGATCTGCCACTCCCCACTTTAATATACATTTTTCCAGAGGACTTGGTCTCACACCTGGCCATGGGTGCTCCTTGCGATGGATATTTCCCATAAGTGATGCAGTAGCCCATGCTGAGCCAGCTTTCCCAGGCTGCGATGCTAACCCAGGGTCTCAGGCCACCCAGCTGATGGCTGCAGGGGACAGTGACCCCAGACCCCATCCCACCGGGGATGCTGCAGGGAGGGGTCCCCGAGCATCTCTGTTTCCAACACATCATACCAGCAGCATGTTTTAGCCTCTGTGAAAGCTCAAATGAATTAAACCCACCGTTTATCTACCCTACAAGCACTTGGTGCGCAGAGCTTCACCCAGAGCAGATGATTTTTAAGAAAGATAAGTATTATTACAGGACAGGTATAAGGAAACCTCTTTGAAACTTCCCATTGGCAAAGCTTTATTATTTCAAAAAACAGAGGTTTTCCCTTTACTGCAGCTGCTTTTGAAATCCCAGCTCTGTTTCCCACACTTTAGGCATCCTGATCGTACTGTCCATACCTGCTTCACCTCTCAGCCAGCACAGGAGATGGCTTCCCATGGCCAAGCAGCCAGGGATGGGTCCAGGCAGCAAAAGTCAGGCTGCGACAGCCCAATCCTCCTTTCCTACAGGAAGGTGAGCAGCCTTGTGGATAACCCTGCCTGGTCCTCTCCTCCTCCATCCATCCTCACGCTCAGGCCATGCCCACAGTGTCCAGCCCTCGCTGAAACCACCTGGGATTGCCTTGATAGACTTCAGCCACCGGATAATCCCAACTTCAGTAATACCCATTCAAAGGATGGGGATTTACCCCTTGGCTCTCTGACCACTGGTGATTAACTGTAACAGGCAGCAAAGAATTTGAGTAAATTCTGAATTCCCCACTTTGACTTCATTGTTCCTTTGTAAATTAGAAAAAACAAAACAAACCAACCAACCAAAAAAAAAAAACCAAACCACCCCCAAACAAACACAAAAGACAAAAGACAAACCAAAAAAACCCAACTTCATCATCATCTGTGTGCAATGAAAACAGGAGGGGACAGCAACAATCAAGGATGCTACATGTCCTGTTGAAACACAGGTTTGAGTGGTTTAGCAATGGAAATAATGAAAAAAAATTAGTAATCCCTGTAATCATCAATAGGGTGTTTTAAGACAGTAAACCCTGGAGAGATTTTAGCAGCAGATTTTACAACTCTGAGAGCTGGTGGAAAAATATCACCTCTCATTTCATAGACATTTTTCCCAGACCAAATATAAGAAAGAAACAGAAGCACTGATAAAAAGATGCTTTTATGTCTGAGAAAATGAGCCAGGTCCCCTGATACCTGCAACTTCTCTGGTTTTCTGTCCTTCCTCATCACTGTGCTGGGAGCACGATGACAGCACCAGCCAAGGGTCAGGGACGCCGTGCTGCAGCACATGGGGAGAAAAGGGATGCTTCCATCACGAAAACTCATGAGAAAATATCTCTGTGCATCTCTGCTAATAGCACAATGCCCGGATCCGTGGAGGGAGAGATACAGGTAACAGCATCACCCATCACAATGTCACCCCTGCCGCCGTGTCCTCACAAATGAACGTCCCTAATTTATTCCTCGTTTCCTTCCGAGGATGGACCAGACTTCTCCCATCTCCAACTGTCACCCTCCTCCCCACAGCAAGGAACATCCACACCTAGAAGGGGAAAGAATGGGATTTTTACATATAACCCCAAATTCTCACATGAGCGGGTAATAAATGATGTCGCCTTAAATGACAAAAGGAGATGCCGCAAAAACTTGAACAGATGCAAAAGGCCTTTGGATAGGACAAGGCGGGGGAGGTTGCATATCTATGGGTTTAAGTA